TGTAATACTAGCAATGTTGTTTTCAGTTTGACAGGTGTGGCTGATACGTTCCAGTACCATTTACTATGACGCAGTATTGTGTGTTTTTTAAAGTTTTTAATAGTGTTTGCTAAAGCCGAGCTTGCTTCTTCTATACTTGTCTGTGAATAGTTCGTACATCACCAGAACCAAAATTCAGCAGAGTAAATGAGACATCGTAAAGCTAATAGCGTGTGCATTTGATTTCCTACATCCAAAAAAGGGAAATATCCTTAGAGAATTGCAGTTGAGATGGCGCTGAATAGCTTTCGTTGTAGTCTAAAAGTGTGCGGCAAAATGATATTTTGTTAATTGCGCCCTATCGAATCAAAACATGTATATTCCTATTTATGGTTAATAAATCAAGTTGTTGCTACTTTGTTAATGAATCACACGCTTCTTAATTCTTTGTGTACGGCTTGCTGTCAAAACACTAAACTTAACATGTGCTTGATTATATGATTATTTCTTTATTTGGTTGATGATTTTAGCTGCAAGTCGCTGTCAACTGGAGCTCCATCTGGATTCAGGATTCATTTTCATATGGAATGCATTTTGTGCAGAAAAAAAACACTGACTAGTAAGAAATAAAATCATGAATTTCCAGCCAATCAACCACCAAATATAGGCCCTTGACAGCAGCATTATTTTTTCTCATACCTAAACTCAGTTAATTAGGACATGTTGGCTTAGCATGTTCATATAATTTCTCTTATTAGTTATGCGGCATATTGCTTAATGAGATTGCCTGTATGGTATATGTTTGGGGCAACTATTTTTTTTCTAGAGATCAGAGCTCAATATCTAATCACGCAAAGCAGGCCGCTGTTTAGCATGATTGGCATCTCTTACAGTTTTTGTTAAACTGAATTACTAAATATATGTTGCTTTTTCACCTAACAGGCTTGGCTATATGTTTACTGGTGTGCACCATGTCATTTGAGACAATTTCAAGATCTTAGAAATTAGCTCCAAGCTTCAAAATTCCACCAAACCAGTAAAAGATGAAATTACTAATTCCAAATTAGCAAGTTATGAGAGGAAGGTTTGCATAAAGTACTTCTACATGGTGTAAGATTACAATATTCATTGTAGCAAGATTTTCTTTCCAATCTGCGGCACCGTCAAATCGGACATCTATCATGGTTCATGATATTAGGCATCAAGGATAGAACCATATATATGTTGGATATCTACGACATAAAGAGATTATTGTTTCAACTACTTGACCTATCAGTGATTGGTTAGTTCAATCAAATTTATAGATTTAGTGTTGATCTGTTTGGATGGTTGGTTAGGAAAGTGAAAACGAAACTCTTTGATGTTGACAACTTAATTTCTCTGTGGCAGTGACAAACTTCTTAATTTCTCACAAGTGAGGGTCTGATGTCAAATATTTTGTGGATCAAACCTGCCAGCAAGGACCTTACTTGAACACAATGTTTTAAATAGCGCGCTAAGCCTCTTAGCGGCGGACCTCTTCTAAATGCTATAGCGTGCTATAGCGGAGCTATAGCGAGCTATTTAAAATGTTTGCTCAAGTGTTTGAACAAAAGACTCTTAGCGCGGGACCTTTTCTAAACGCTATAGCATGCTTTAGCGGAGCTATAGCGGGCTATTTAAAACCATGCTTGAACATTATCTATTCTATGGGATCGTACCACTGCAAACCTGCCAACAAGTAAATTTATTGGCATTTTATTTTGTTTCGGGATAACTTTGGTTTTTGTTGCTCAATAAAAATAATACCCCTCTTCGTACATCTATTATTTCGCTTTCCAATGAAGCTGCAGTTCTCTCCAAATAATTGTCAGAGTACACTATGCAGAAGCTGCTAAACAGGCTGTGGAAGCTGATGAAAAATCAAACAGTAAAGAGGAGGCTGCTCTTTGTCGACATTGTTGTACGAATATAATGCGACCTTCTGCCATTGTGTGAAGAAAAGTATGTGCAAAACTACATACTTGCATCAATAGTAGATAGATGAATATGACCTTGCGTACAGATTGTTCTGTAGATAAAATTGACGTTGCTTACAGATTTTGCTGTATGTATATTTTTTGTATAGTTGACCGAGATAAATAGAAGATGGTAGAAGAAAGAGGTGCAGAGTGTTGTATGACCATATTTTACATGGTGATCGTTGTTGTATACTGTATATTTTTGCATAGATAGAATAATGATGTAGATATAGAGGGTTTTCGCATTGTAGTAATTTTCATAGGGACTATGATTATTATGACTGTTTTATGGTGCAGAAATCAGTCAATACACATTTATTGTGACGGCATATACCATGTTTGTGAAGTGCGAGCAGCAAAGAACCTGAGTGGTTTTCTTCTTATTGGTCGTAAACTTCTCATGGATGAATTTCTATACAATGCTTACTAAATTTAAGTCTGACAATTTTCTGCCCATTGCAACGCACGGACATGTGTCCTATATATATAGGAGTACATGCTTGGAAGACAAGAAGCCCCTCTTAAATATAAGCTAGCCGATGGATTACAAATCCTAAACTATCAAATACATGTAAAGAAAGTATATCTCTAACATGCCGAGTTTAAGTCCAGTGCCATGTTATGGCAAGACTATCTTACCTCTACTTGAGAGGGTGCTTTCTGAGTCTCTTGTACTATGAAATATATGCTTGTTTTACTACTTTGAAAATCAACGGATATTTTTCAGGCGGGGAGTCCCCCACCCCTCCCTAGTTTCAAAATTAAACATGGTGGTTATTTTGGACACGTAGCAACCATGACAACCAGACAAACATCAATAAAATAATTAGTAATTCATATATTACATTCTGGAAGGTGATCGATGTTATATATGCACGTGCATTAGTTTATAACTATTAACATGCAAGAAAAATTAGTGCGAGAGCAATTTAGTTGTCATCTCGTATTCACGGTGACTATTTCATATCATCCATGGATATGAAGATGAGAAGAGTACCTATATTTCCAGCTACATACAGTACCTGCAACTGGTACAAGTCAACAGTGTTAGTTGCACCAACGGTCGGCCGTCCCGTAATAAAATAGGAGCTCTTAATTTGCTCTCTGCACCCGAGAATGCACACAACCAAGAACAATGTTATGTGTTATTAAGTTTGGAATTATAATTAGAGTGGATTGCTCAAGGTTGCCAACTTGCCAGGTTCGAGAGAAACTTCTACTGTATAATATAAAAGTGATGAAAAATCCGTCGCCCACCACACCTATTTAACTATCGGTTACAGTTTTACCTCCTAGATTTTGAGAGAAAAGTTTGACTCTGAACTTCTGATACAGAGCACATTATATCCTTGCCCCTAATCAAAACAGTATGGTTGCTAACATGGCGGTGATTTTGCACGCATAGCAATCTTGTAACATGAAAAACCAATAAAATTAATTAGACAAGTTAAATCCAAAGTATTCCAAGAGAAAAAAAATCGTTTTTTCAAATAAACTCCAAGAGTATTATCATCTACTCATGAATGTTCATAATTTATTTATGACTTATCCACAGTTTCCCAATTTTGGTTAAAACTTATAGATTTATTGCAAGCTTTTATTTTCGTCTTGATATTCACATTTTTTTAACACAGTACAGATGAAAGCGCTCATACATAGGCGCATACACTCACCCCTAATAAATGTATGTTTATTTTTACTCCCTCCGTTTCAGTTTGCAAGTCCTGTGCATATACCTAGGTTGCCAATTTTATCACAGTAATATAAACTATATAACATAAAAATTATACCGTTTGAAAATAGAACATCCGAAGTTATAATGGTTTGTTTTTCATAATATATGTCTTCTATTAGGTTGGTCAAATTGATGACCTAGGGGTAAACCGAGAGAGAGGGATTATCTAGTTTTTGTGCCGATTGGTGTGTGCGCAAAACCACCACCACATCACTGGTCATATAAATTTCACTACGCTGGCATCAAATCATCCAACCTTTAAATTATAGATAATAGGTATACAAATAAACTTAACTAACATTTGAGTTGTCAAATATAATGTTACTCCCTTCCCATGCAAAACTAAGTTGTATATCCAACACAAATACTCCCTCCGTTCCTAAATATTTGTCTTCCTAGAGATCTCAACAAGTGACTACATACGGAGCAAAATGAGTGAATCTATACTCTAAAATATGTCTACATACATCCATATGTGATAGTCCATTTGAAATCTCTAAAAAGACAAATATTTAGGAACTGGGGGGAGTAATAGAGATCGCTCCGCCAAAAAAAAAAACACTGGAGATTGCTGTCACTATTTCTCTATGTATACATGACATGCACATGTCAAGATTGAAGTTCATCTTGCTTTGACATATCCCACATTTTATGGCATCTTTGGAACGCAATATTATGAAAACTTATTAAAAAAACATAGGATGAAAATGACACGACATCTTGGTTCCTGCTTAAAATGAAAATATAGGACTGTTGAGAAGAAGTGGTTGTCTCGGAACAGAGTGAGTGATATGACTTGCCAGGTTCAAACAAAAAATATATGTAGGCCTACCGAATTGCTAGTACCATTTAACACTATGGAGTGGCCTGGATGATTAATTATGCCGTGGCAAATTAGCTATCAGCTTAGCTAATCAGAGTACACTAACTAATTTATTGCAACTGTAGCTAGCATGGGTAGCAGTCTGAGCCACGTCCGCATATACAGTGGAAAAGGAAAAGTGTGCAAATGAAGGAAAACAACATCAATATGTGTCCACTTCCCTATTCCTCAAAATCTCCACAGGCTATACATATATATAGCGTGTGTGTGTTCCTTCTCTCTCATCTCTTTTGGTGCTGGTAGCTACCTTGCTCTCTCCATTTTCTCTCTCTTCTTGGGTAGCTAGATCCTCCCCCTTCTCTCTCTAGCTTCCATTCCTTCGTACTAGTACTCTTCCGCTTGATTTCCCCAGCTGCAGCTAAGTTTCTTCCTCCCACTTTCTCTTCTCTCTAGATCACCGGGTATGATCTTCCTTCCTGCCTTCCTTGATTCATCAAACTTCTGGAACACCGACCATAACCAGCTTCAGGTATGCATCCTCGTGCTTCTAGCTAGCTAATTAATTACATATTCCCTTATGATTTTGTTCGCACGACCATATTAAAGTGACCCTAAGCGCAAAGCAAATTATTCTGCGCGCTGGTCCATCGCGGCTGAGTCACCACGCTTTGGCCGAACCAAACCAACGCGGTTCTCTCCTGATTGGCGCACACATAACCACCTCTCGTTGCCTTATCAGCCGAACGTAATTTGGTTGCCTTCAGTAGTAATCAATCCCAGACGTCAATAGTAATCAAATCATGTGGTCTACGCACTTGCAAAAAAAAGTCATCTCGTGTAATCACATAAAAAATATTACTACATTCCGAGAAGTCTTTTACCGTCAAACAATATTTATGCACTTAATCTGACCCAATGAGCCTAGGGTAATATGCAAAGGGCATCTGGTAATAGGAGGGTGTACTTTTACGAGGACCAAGTTATGCATGGTAGTACTAATTTCAGATCATATGGCAGTAATACTAGCATGTAGTCTGTAACCATCTTTGTTCAATTACTATATTTACTAGTAAATTTACTGGATGAATTTGACGTGGTGGGAGATGGGTGCATGCACCTAGTAACCATTTTACTATGTTTACAGGAATTTTACTAACGAAGTCATGTGAGGCGAGGCGGGCATGTTGATGGTAAAATGTTTAATTCTGTTACTATATTTACCAAAAAAAAATACTAGCAAGCAGAGAGAGAGAATCATGCGAGGCGGGGCACATATACATGCTGATCGTAACCAATTTAATGTCATTACTATATTTACTAGTAAATTTTACTAGCAAGTGGAGGGAGGATCACTGGTTCGGCTGAGCGGCGTGGGCGACTTGGTCGGAGCGCAGAATTAGCATTCTGCACCCACGCTCACTTTAGCGCTACCTTATCAGGTTTTTTTTTCCAGGGTTTCTTTTTCTTGTTGAAATTTACAGTAACCAACCGGTTACCGGAAATTTCATGGGCACCCGAGAAACAGTGGCACCTCTCGAAAAATTCAAAAAAATGATAATTTAGACAGCCAAGAGGTAGTACTGTTTCTCGGGTTATGATACCAGAAAGGTAAAAAATATCAATTTAAACAGAATAGGTGAATCAAACAAGGTCTGTATCAATGAAAAAAATAGTGTGCTATAGCAAAATAGCACCACCCTTATAGGACGAGGATTTAGAGCTCTCGGGTGCTCCGCACCCCTATATGTACAATACCAGGAAAAAAATACCGAGAAATTTGAAAAAAAATCTGGGGTTTTGGGATATCAAACGTGGGTTACCGATGTACTCCCATATGAGGTTTGGTGAAAAAAATACCAGGAAACGTGTTCGCGGCAAAAAAGACAAAAATTTCCTATGTATAGCAAAACACTGTTTGTGTACATTTTTTTCCGGGCAGTAATTCCTTCGCCACGGATGCGTTTTTGGGTATTTTTTCACGAAATTTCGCACGGAAGTAGATTGGGGGACCAGGTTTGACATCCCGAAAATTTAGATTTTTTTGATTTTACAGGAATTTTTTACGAATATTTTTCGTATAGGGGTGTGGAGCACCCGAGAGCTCCTGTGTATTTTCCCACCCTTATACTATATTATTAGTGTGCTATATTACGTTATAGCATGCTATCTTACACTGATTTATTTCGCGGGACATTGGTCAGAACGTTATAGTGCGCTATTTTTTCCAGTGGTCTTTATACTCCAAAGAGGTCACGGGGTCTCCCTTTGCACAGGGGAGTTTATGTCTGATGTAGGTCAAACATTATACATTATCACCGGAAAAAAGGTGAAAAACCAAAATTCCTTTGAATTATTTGAACAAAAAAACCCAAACCTTCCGAGATTTACGAGACCGGTTCTTCCTGCCCATCCGGGGGCGAATGGAGAAAAAAATAGCTCCATCTATATATTTGCCCATATGCCTAATTGATTACTCATCTACTTGTCGATTTGCAGCTGCAACAAATCGGTACTAACACTCATAGTACTACCACTTCTTCACCCGCTGGTCCTGGTGATGGAGAATGCAAGAACAGCAATAAAAAACGGTTCATGGCCACGGCCGGGGCTGGCTCCGGCGCTGCAGGGGGTGGCGATGATGGTTGCGGCGGTGCTGTTGACGGCGATTGCGGTGGCATCGGGAATAAGAAGTCGAGGTCCATGTCAGAGCGAGCACGGCTAGCGCGGTTGCCGCAGCGAGTGCCAGGGCTCAACTGCCCGCGATGCGACTCCACCAACACCAAATTTTGCTACTTCAATAACTACTCCCTTACCCAGCCCCGCCACTTCTGCCGCTCCTGCAGCCGCTACTGGACCCGCGGCGGCGCGCTCCGCAACGTCCCCGTCCGCGGGGGGTGTCGTCGCAATACCAAGCGCAGGGCCAAGCCCAAGGTGGTATCAGCCACCTCTCGAGCCGCTATGGTAGGGACGTCGTCCGTGACATCAACCATGTCCAGCAGTACCACTTATGTCACCGGCACCGGCACTACACCACCCAGATTGCAGTACCCCATGTTCGGCAGTGTGCCGTCGCACGACAGCCAGTTCACCGACAGCTTCGACCCAGCGAACCTTGGTCTCATCTTCCCCGTCAGGCTGCTCCTTGCCGATAGCGATGCTTCCGCAGTAGACGGCTGTGCACAGCAGCACCACCACCATGCCCATGGGAACGGGATGGAGCAGTTGTCGGTAGCGCAGGATAGCTTCCCATTCATGTACGCGATGGATCATCAGATGTCTGGACTGTCAGCTCAGGCTATGCCCATCACAATGGGTACGATGCAGGGCATGTTCCACGTAGGGTTACAGGGCATCGGCGGGGGTAATGGCGATGAGATAGGAGGCCAACAGTTGCACCACCCGCCGGCCAAGAGAAACCACAAGCAGCAAGATTACCCGAGCAGCAGGGACATGTACGGGGACGTGGTCAATGCCAATGGTGGTGTCGGCTACATTTAATATTCCAGTACGCGCAATGCAACTTGTAATTAGCTATCTAGTTAGATCAAAATTTGCTCTTAGATTAATGTCCGGTGAAATGGGGCACGCTATTGTAGTCATGTGAACTTTGATGAAATATATGGATCTGCTTCTCAATTATGTGTTATTTTTCTGAACTTGGTGATGCTGGATATGTACGCTCGACCATGTTAATGCTTGGTATGATAGTACTTGAATGTGCCATGTTAACTAGTAGAAAATGTTGGAATAAGCCATGGCTTGGTGCGGTCGGGCATGTCGGGCGCGACGGATGCGTGCGGGACATGCGGGACACACTGGTGCAGTCGGGCTCGTTGGGTTGGGTCGGGCGTGTCGGTGGCACGCGGGACGGGCGGGACGTGCGGGACGCAGCAGCGTGGCGTATGTGTGTGTTTGGGCATTGTATGGCCCTCGTGCGTGTGTGCATGCGTGTAGGAGTCTAGGTTGAGTCGGACTTTGGCTGAGCCCGCGGTCGTGTGGCAAGGCAGGTAGGATGCAGCGGAAGCACGATGGCACCAGGTCTTGCGGAGGAGCGGGCTGCTCACGTCCGAGGGAAGACCGCATCGCCATGGACTCCGTGAGCGCTACGTATTGGTAGCTAGAAAGCCGGCTGTACGTTGAGTCTGTTAGTGCGTGCGTGGGTGCTACGTTTCTGTTGGCTACAAAACGGCTGTAAAATCCTAGTCTGCTGGGGCGTTGGTTAGTCCAGTTTAATCACAAAGGAAAAGGGCATTTGAGCGCCGGTGACGTACGTCGCCAGAAAACTATCCTCTTGTGTTCGTTCGTCTACCTCTGTCCGTGAGTGAACCAGAGAGTTATCTAGCGCGGCACAAACAGAAAACAGACCTTCCGTCCGGAGCATTAGTCCCGGCCTGGTTTGGGCCTAGGACTAATGTGATCGTTAGTCCCGATCCCAACGGCTAGGAGCGGACGGGGGCACGGCCACCATTAGTCCCGGTTCATTTTCGATCTATAGTACTGGTTGGTGATACAAACCGGAACTAAAGGTCCACCTATAGTCCTGGTTGGTGATACCAACCGGGCCTTTAGTCCCGGTTTGTATCACCAACCAGGACTAAAGACGTCCCTATATAAAATCCTGCTTTGTCCAGCCCGAGCCCAAGCTCTCCTCTTTCTGTTTTCTCCTTTCTCTCCTCTGTTCTCTTCCCCTTGCTCGAGCCCATCCTCCATTTCAAGATTTGAGGCACCCCACATATCCAAGTGTTCACAAAGGTTAGCAACTTTGTCCTTTCATCTCTCATTGCTACATTAGCTCGTGCAATGGTCTATAAGTTTAATGATTTATGGGTTTTATTTTGAGAGTAATCATGTGGGAGTTTATTTGATTTATATGCAATTTGAACTCAAATTAACTTCTTAGTTTGCATATGTGTAGGTGTGGTTTGCTTAGTGCCTTCCCGTCCCCGTCCTAACCACCGTCCATCGTCCGCACCGTCCCGTCACCGGCACCACCTTGGTGAGCCTCTTGTTCTTATCCTTTTTATCAGTAAAAAAATCTTATTTGTATGATTTAGATAGTTACTTGTATAATTTTCTTACTTGTATGATTGTTTGTTATATATAGTGCCTTGGTTTGGATATCCATCCCCGTCGGCCCTCGTCCGGTTTATGATTCGGATGTGGTATATTCTCTTTTATAACTATTTGTTGCATTTCGTGTTTATGACAATTATGCCCATCAAGTTGACATAGATATTTTTATCTATGAGGTATGTGAACCGGAAAATTGCAACTGACCCTCTTGTCGAGAAGTTAAATTTAGTTGAAAAAGAAAACGAGTATTTGAAAGAAAAATTGAAAAGAATTGAAGAAGAGAAGATGAAATTAGAGTTGTATGTTGTCGATGTCGTCGGTGATCACAAGATCAAGATGGATGCAATGAGCTTGAAGATTGGAAAGATTAGAAAATATGTTGTTAATAAAGAGGCTTGGTATCATTATGCTGTTGCATCAATTATTACCTTAGTTGGGATCTTGCTCGCATTTGTTGTTGCATTTAAATGCTTTAGCTAGATAGTTGTATGTTGTTTTATGAGAATAAGTGTGTATCAAATTTATGTATGAACTTGTATTGATTTTGTCTTTTCGGTGTTAAGTAATGAAGATGAGCCGGAAATGGATGTACGTTGAGAGACGCTCTCCCCAGTTCATTAATGGCGTGCAGAGTTTTCTGCGTGCGGCTGAGGCAAACCACTGGGATAGTTTTATGTGTTGTCCAGGTCGTTTGTGTAAGAATGATAGGAATTACTCTAGCTCAAAAGTCCTTCACATCCACATTTTTACGTTCGGTTTCATGTTCGGCTATGACTGTTGGACCAAGCACGGAGAACGAGGGGTTCTAATGGAAGAGAATGAAGAAGAAGAGGAGGATGACAACTATCATGTGTTCCCTGAATATGATGGTACTACAATAGGGGAAGAGGCTCAAGACGAGGCATCAGATGAGCCCTTTGATGATCTTGGTCGGGCCATTGCTGATGCAAAGAGAAACCACGCAAGTGAAAAGGAAAAGTTGAAGTTGCAACGCATGTTAGAGGATCACAAGAAATTGTTGTACCCAAATTGCGAAGATGACAAGAAAAAGATCGATACCACACTAGAATTGTTGTAATGGAAGGCCGAGAATGGTGTATCAGACAAGGGATTTGAAAAGTTAATGAAAATGTTACAGAAGATGCTTCCAAAGGACAACAAATTGTCGGCAGTACGTATGAAGCAAAGAAGGTTGTCTGCCCTCTAAGATTAGAGGTGTAGAAGATACATGCATTCCCTAATGGTTGCATCCTCTACCGCGGTGAGAAGTACGAGAATTGGAATGCATGCCCGGTATGCGGTGCATTGCGCTATAAGATCAGCCGCGATGACCCTGGTGATGTTGAGGGCGAGCGCCCCATGAAGAGGATTCCTGTCAAGGTGATGTGGTATGCTCCTATAATACCACGATTGAAACGTTTGTTCCAAAACAAAGAGCATCCCAAGTTGTTGAGATGGCACAAAGAAGACCGTAAGAAAGATGGAAAGTTGAGCATACCCGCTGATGGGTCCCAGTGGAGAAAAATCAAGAGAAAGTGGCCAGAGTTTGCAGATGACGCAAGGAACTTATGGTTTGGTATAATTGCAGATGGCATTAATCCTTTTGGGGATCAGAGCAGCAATTATAGCAACTAGCTTGTGAGTCTATGTATCGATAACATTCCTACTTGGTTGTGCATGAATTGGAAGTTCATTATGGTGTCGGTGATCATCCAAGGCCCCAAGAAACTCAGCAACAACATTGATGTGTACCTAAGGCCATTAGTTGAAGAACTTTTACAGTTGTGGGACATAAAAGGTGTACGTGTGTGGGATGAGCACAAACAACAGGAATTTGACCTACGAGCTTTGTTGTTTGTAACCATCAATGATTGGCCGACTCTTAGTAACCTTTTAGGACAGACAAACAAGGGATACAATGCATGCACGCACTGTTTAGATGATACTGAAAGTATATATTTGGATAAATGTAAGAAGAATGTGTACCTGGGACATCGTCCATTTCTTCCGATCAAGCATCTCTTAAGAAAGAGAGACAAGCATTTCAAAGGTGAGGCAGATCACCGGAAGAAGTCTCGCCACCGTACTGGTGATGATATACTTGATATGATCAAGGATTTAAAAGTAATCTTTGGAAAGGTTCATGTCAGACAAACTGTTCCAAATGACGCTGACAGACACGCACCCATGTGGAAGAAGAAATCTATATTTTGCGACCTACCCTATTGAAAAGTCCTAAAGGTTTGCTTTGCAATCGATGTGATGCACGTGCCAAAGAATCTTTGTATGAACCTGCTAGGGTTCTTGGGCGTGTATGGGAAGACAAAAGATACACCAGAGGAACGGGAGGACAAGCAACGTATGCACGAAAAAGACGGCATGCATCCAAAGCAGTATCAAGGTCCTGCCAGCTACGCTCTTACCAAAGAAGGAAAGGAAATCTTCTTTGAATGCCTGCTCAGTATGAAGGTCCAGCCTGGCTTCTCGTCGAATGTAAAGGGAATAATAAATATGGCAGAGAAAAATTCTAAAATCTAAAGTCTCATGACTGCCACGTGATTATGACGCAATTGCTTCCCATTGCATTGAGGGGGCTTCTACCGAAAAACGTTTGATTAGCCATTGTGAAGCTATGTGCATTCCTGAATGAAATTTCCCAGAAGGTAATCGATCCAGAAAGCCTACCAAGGTTACAGAATGATTTGGTGCAATGTCTTGTTAGTTTCGAGTTGGTGTTCCACCATCCTTCTTCAATATCATGACGCACATCCTAGTTCATCTAGTCAACAAGATTGCCATTCTGGGTCCTATATTTCTACATAATATGTTCCCCTTTGAGAGGTTCATGGGAGTCTTAAAGAAATATGTTCATAACCTTGCTAGGCCAGAAGGAAGCATCTCCATGGGCCATGAAACAAAGGAGGTTACTGAGTTTTGTGTTGACTTTATTCCTGACCTTAAGTTGATTGGTGTTCCTGAATCGCGGCATGAGGGAAGACTGAGTGGAAAAGGCACGCTAGGAAAGGATTCAGTAATATGTATGGACGGGCATTCTTGGGTGCAAGAACACTACACAGTTATACAAAATTCCACCTTGGTGGCTCCGTATATCGAGGAACACATGGATATTGTACGCTCCAAGAACCCGGAGCAGTCTGAGCCCTTGATTAAACATACACACATGGAAACTTTCGGCGGTTGGTTGCAAACATGTCTCATGCAAGATGACACTGTTGGAGATGAGTCGTACTTGTTGGCCAAGTCACCATCTTCGACTATATTGACTTTCAAAGGGTACGAGATAAATGGGAATACATTTCACATGACCGCCCAAGATAAAAAGAGCACCAACCGGACACCAAGTCGGCCATGAAATTGTTCGATTAGCTAGTGTATGGACGTGATTTTAAGGTCCCTTTGTTTTG